CCTCTTTAGAAAGCCCTTTTGCATCTACTGTGGACGATCCTTTCATCTCAGCATCTTTTTCAATTGGTGCTTCTTAAATCATGGAAATAACTTGGCAAAGAGGCTGAGTTACAAAAAAACAACAGTTAGGAATGCAAGGTAAATGCATATAATAGGTCTTCAGAGGGTTGGCAGAAGCCATTCTGGGAACTGGAACATGGTTCAACAAAAATCTCTCTGGATAGGAGACATCTTTACTCATAGTGAAGATAGGTTTTACAGGATCAGAGCCCTGGGCTAGGGACAGACATTACACACAAAGCAGTTCAAATGATCAGAAACTGGTTTAAATCTGTAACAGAACATATGTTCAGTGCACATGAGCCAGTTTGAAAATGGCTGAAATCGGTTTGAGATAAACCTGGTTGAATGTAGTATCAGACTTAACTGAGTTGGGTCAAGCTAGTTTATCAATATCTGTCCCAGATGCCTTGCTGGTTTAAGATAAACTAGACTCCCCCAGCATCCTGGCATGCTCTCTGGGCTGGGCAGGGCTCTCTGCTCCACATCAGAGCTGGCCCCTCCCCTCTGCTCCCTGGCTGCAGCTCTGGCAGAGACTACAGGCATCTGCCTGGCTTCTGCTCCCCCCTCCCCTCTAAGCTGGGATGCTGCTGTCCTCTCTGCCTTACACAGACACCTCTCAGCATTAGCTAGCAGACCACAAGTTGGCTATGGTCTGTGCTGTAGCAGATGGGACAAAGGCAGAATCAACATGTAGCTGGTAATGTTCCTGTGTTGTTTTCTTAATGGGGTGATAAACAATGAGTTAGGGCTAATAAACAGTGTTATCAATTCCCTGCTGGGTTGCTCAGGAGGGGGAACCCCTCCCTAATAAGAGTGCCCAGCCAGGGCCTGGCCAAGCCCTCAGCTCAGCACTACAGAAAGGGAAAGGAAGGCTACTTTAGTGCCCCTGCCTTCTAGCCTGAGCCACTTCAGACATGTGCCTGCATTTTTTTTAGTCCAGAGGGGATGTCTGTGTGATTACAAACTGGCTTAGCCTCGCCAGGTTAGACTAACCTGTAAAGATTGAATCAATTCAGACTCAGGCTTTTTGAATGTCTGTCCCTAGCCTTAAAGCCCCCAGCATACAGTGTGAAATGTGGCCCTTGCTAGGAAGATTTCAGGACTCAAAAATACACTCACTCACAAAACGGAGATAGGGATTTCTATATAATGTAATATAGAAGTAATGATTTTTTTAGTGAGTAAATATGCATCTATCTAAAGTATTGTAGCACATTATTGCAGTTTTCCTCTAAATGAGCTAGACTTTCAGAAGGCCATTTTTTTGCTTATGTAAGAAGTGAAAATATAAAAATAACTAATTTTCATGTTCTGTTACTTACTCTAAACGTTTCTATTCTATTCCATGATTTTGAAGCACACAAATGCTTTTAAAAAAAGGATTCAAGAATATTGTCAATCTGATAGCCAGATAGAAGCTGAGATCAACAGTAATACATTCAGCAAAAATAGGCTGTAAACTCAGCAAATTACTGGAAGCAGCATAAGGAAAGCAATCTTAGGTGCTGTTGAATCTTAGTTATTTTAATTTAAAATGAGATGTTTTGTATAAAAAGTGATTAATTCATGAGCAATTGATCTTGCTTTAAACTGAAATATAGAACAGATGGTGTCATTAAATGCAAAAACAACAAACTTCGTTTTCATTCACATGCAGACCTAAAGGATTAGTTCTTTAATTGCAACAGGAGTCACCACTGTTTACCATGTGCCTACTTATTCTAGACATTACTGTTCTAGCTGCCAATCATGCTCCACAATTTTACCTTATTTTGTCTTTTTAAAATTATATTATACCAGTACAGTTGTCTTGGCTGCACAGTTATAACAACAACTGTTCATGTGATAGCCAGACCAGCACTATTGTAGCAGTACCCTGAGAGGATGTCAATCATGCTTGTTGAGTAAGTGGAGCATTAAATTTTTTTTATGTCTTATGTTGTACATGTTGAATCACTGTCACTATACAATCACAACAGAATACAAAAGGGAAAAATAGCCAATTAGTCAAGGCAAGGCCACATAGGCTCATACAATACAGTTTGGAAGTGTGGGTTAATCGCTGGACACCAGCATTATGTCGCATTTGAAGAGATTTACTGTTTGAGCATAATAAAAGGCTAAGGATAAAAAGGACAATGTTTTCCTTCTCTGATTACTCCTGAAAGACTTCAAAATTCTGCTGAGTGTCCAAAAAAAATTTAACAACATTTTTTTTTTCATTTTCTGCTAAATGTTAACCTTCTGGAGAATGGCACAAAGCTATGCATACATACCTCCAAACCCCTTACCTGCTCTCCCTTTAAAGCCACTGGCTTCTTTATGAGGAGCTGTAACAATCAACCACACTAAAGACTTCCTTTGAGTAGAAAAGAAACATCAGAGAGCCTTTTGAGAGCTCCACCCCAGTACCCCATGGCATTTTAGACAGATCATACAAAACATTTTTTATTCTGTCTCCAGAGTCGTACAGCATTACCTCACTGTGAACAGAGCTGGACCAAGGGTATTTGGGACAGTTTAACTGATCTGCAGATTGATTCTTACAGGCATGACTCTTGCTTGTTCAAAATCCAAATCTGCCTTACTGCTTAACAGAATTAAATCAATAGAGAGGCAAGTATTTTTCTGGGTGATACATTTTATTAGACCAACAGCACGGTTGGGATACAGTTAGCCAAGATTTCATATGCAGCACATTCTTCCTCAGACCTGATAAAGAATGCACTGCATTTAAAAACTTGGCTATTCCTCTCATATTTCCTGGACCATCACAGTTATAGTACCACTTCAAAACTACCAATCAAATTAATAGTATTTCAAGGAGCCCTAGGCACAGATATTTACAGGAAAAAGTCAATGACTAATGTTTCATCTCTCTCCCCACTCCTCACTACCTGCTTTTGTCTTTTAAGTTTATGGAAGGGATAAATTAGAGTTTTACACTCCATATAAACACTCATGTTTCAGGAGTTATGCTAACTATTAGGTCTATCAAGACAAGACCTTCAGGGGCAGATTATGCTATATCTGCCTTCCTGTGGGGTTTTCTGTACCTTCCTTGAAGCATCTGCTGCTGGCCACTGTTGGAGACAGTGCTGAAATATATGGACCACAGGGCCCAATATTATATTTCAGTTCCAGAGATTTGGGCCAATGGTTTCAAAACTCAGACACGTATGGCTTGGTACCTTCAACAAATGCTTACATTTCTCAGATGAAGTGTCATGGGTATGAAGCACAAATCAACATGAAATGGGGATGTTCAGCACCTTTGATTCACACTTGGATACTCAAAGTTCTGAACCAGATGAATGCCAAAGGTCACAGGCTGAAAAAACGTAACTTTAAAATACTTTAAAAGGTCTGGGAGAATTGCTGCTCATGCAGGTATAATGTAACTGCGATGCAGCTGCAGGAGGGCTGGCTGAGGCCCAATGCAGCCACATGAGAACGGGTCCCAGGAGGGCTCTTTCCATGCAGTTGGATTGCGCCTTAGCTGGGCCAACATCACGTGCTGGACAGGGCCCATGGATGGGAACCAGCAGCCCACAGACAGACCTGGGACTGCTCATCCAGCCCACGGCCTGAAAAGCCCACTGCACTAGATAATCAATAGGTATGCTAGCTCAGCCTTAGGTATCAACTGGAGAGGGAGCTTTAACTGGCACTAGTCTATCAAACTGAAAAGGCTGAAAATAAGACAGGCTCATAGAATAGAGTCTGCCTTTTATTTTAAAGAAAAAAAAC